GGTCTATATTGCTGATTCTGTTGCCCCCAATTCTGACCACCTTGCCTCTATCCTCCATAGTTGGCCACATAGTTCATATTTTCCTGATAGTTCTCGTTGTCACTTTCCGCACTCCACGAGCATACATATGGTTGGTTAATGCATGGTGTGAATAAGCCCCCATTATCACGCCAACTATGTGTACCTGTTGCTTCTGGCCTGATTCATCAATCTTTTTGCTGAGGATACTCATTTGCGTCATCAGAGTGGCTATATTCTCGGCTATGGAGTTCTTTGGGTCCAAATCTACTGAGTGAACTATAGGAGTGATTGTAGAGTCTCTTGTCATCTATCCAGAGTTTTGAGACATTTTATCAAGTAAGATCTTGCATTCTCTGAATGATTTGCTCAAAAATGCTCCACCTGCTAAAGCATCAACATTTGGCCTTCAAACTGTCTACCAATCCCATGTAGAACCTTTGCCCCGACATCTGATCTGGAATGCCATGATATGGACACTTAACCAGCATACCTTTGAACCTCTCCCATGTTTCTTGCAATGTTTCTGTTGGTCTCTGCCTGAAGCTCAATATCTCATCAACTTGTTTGGCAGTCTTATTGGGTGGGTAGAACTTGTTCAAAAATTGCTTGACTAATTCCTCCCAAGTAGTGATGGAGTTTATGAGGAGTGAATTGAGCCAAGTCTGAGCCTCTCCCATCACCGAGAATGGAAACAACAACAACCTTATTGCTTCCGGTGTCACATTTGGTTGCCTTTGCGTTACACATATCGACAGAAAATTTTTCAGATGTTGCTGAGGATCTTCAATGTAAGATCCTTAGAACAGTCCCTTGTTCTGCAACAAATGTAGCATGTTGTTTGTGATTTGAAATGATTCCGCTTGTATCTGAGGGACTGCAATTGCGGTTGCCAGATTTTCGGCAGTGGGTTTTGCCCAATCATACAAGGCTGCTTCTGGCATAAGAGGCGCCACACCCTGATTGTTCGGGTCATTCGCATTATTTTTGTTGTTTGGATTTTCTATTACGTCATCCATGTCTAGTTCGATTCGTTCTGTTGAGTTCTGTTGTTGTTAGTCCTTCTTGTTTGCATGATTCAATGCCTTGAAAACTTTCTCAGGATCTGATAATGCTTTGAACAATTCACCAGATCTTGAGGAGTCTCTAGGCATGCACCTGTAACACCCAAGACTACAAACGTTAGAATTTCAATGTATTTAGTTTAAAATGAAGAAAATTGACTATACTAAGAATTCTAGCACTTCTTTTAGCTGTAATTAATAACACTGTTTATCCCCCGACAACGGCGCCGAAATTTGATCACGCCCAACTATGCCTTATAAAAAGGACTAAGCGGTCGTTGCAAATATAATCCGGTTAACAAGTCCGGAGTCGAATCCCACAGAGAATTAACCTACTAAGCACAACTACTAGATCTGCACAAATTCACATAATCAATCTTCAGAAATATTAAATAACGAATTGGATGTTTACTAACTAAAGATCAAGTAATGAAAATGCAGTAATTAATAACTAACGACAAACATGTTGTAGACAAGATTTGGAATGGTCTAAGGTTATGATTTTCCCTATTGTCGGAATCCTTTCTGCTATGTTTCTTATAAATTTGCCTAAGTTTTCTCTACCGATCATGAGCTTTTTGAGTGTCGTAATTCTTTTTCGAGTAACTACCACAATTTACTAGACATATTCTTCCGAACTATGCTAGCTGGCACTAAGTCACGACTCACTCAGATCGCACCAAGGTTTCGTTATTCCTAATCCCACATTTAAACCCTCTGTATTGATTCCTCACATACGTTAGGAGTGATGTTGTTCAACAACTACTTAAATATATATTCTCTTCCAAGTAATACACACTAAATAGGAACAGTCGATTGAGAGCTCTTCAATCAACCACAATATAAACGTAGTTGAACAAATAGAGAAAAAGCTACGGCAAATCTATATTAAACGTAATAGGAAAATCATCCTCCAATAGGTTCCATCAAAACCCTAGATTAGAAGTTTAGCTACTCATACTCATAGTGACAATTTTCCAAGTATTTTGTATAAATAAATTACAAATTAAAGATGAAGGAATGTAGAACTCGATGATTCTTTCTCCCAAAAGTTGTTCCACGAGCTATTCTTGCCTCAGGTCGCAAAACTCCTCAATAGTGGTGTTTAATGACTATTTCTATGTGTAGGACAAAACCTAAACAACATAGCCCAAGTCCAAGTCCAAGAAAGAGACGAAATAAGCTTTTAAAATCCGGATCAGGCTCGCTAAGGACCTCGCCTCGTGAGGGTTAATGCGAGCTTCACCTCGCCTCAGGCTGTGCGGCGCGAGGGTTAACGCGAGCTTCACCTCGCCTCAAGTTGTGCAGCACGAGGGCTGTCGTACGCTCAACCTCGCCATTAACCTAGCATCGCGCGCTTCTACGCGAGCTAAAGACCTCACCTCGCCTGCTCTAACGCGAGCCTCTGAGCTTGCTTCGCCTGCTGCTTCATTTTCCCTCTACTCAATATTTTTTTCTTCTTCTTTCCTATTGTTTTCAAGCATGTTTCATACTTTAAATATTCACTTTGCTCCAATTTCATCTCCAATGTACCTACACATAAAATAGACTCAATTAAGCGCAAATATAATCTAGTTTAGTATTAAAGCACCTAAAATGTAAGGTAAGTAATGTACTAAAAAATGGAATTATAGCCAAACATCAACTATTGACATTTATTAGCTTGCCACTTGGCTTAACTAAAATGTCAATTATATATGGTAACTTTATTCCTTTAATATATATATATATATATATATATATAGATATCAACAAAATGAAAACAGTATTTGCAAATTGTGTCAATCTTGAGTGACCCTAGCCTTACCCATAAACCTACACTATTCTTGCCAAACCCTTTAACCCTTCCTTCCCTACCATTTATCGGCCCCCTATTCTTCAACTTTAACTCGCTACTATTTACGTTGTCATCTTCTTTCAAAATTTACTGTAGCATAATTAACGAAAAGTTACTAATTAACTAAGTCATGATTTGATATACATTTTATATAAGAGCTTAAGTTGTATGCAGTGATTACAGAAAAAGTAATTTCATTATCAAATCATTTATAAGATAATACTAATAAATTATTACAATAAGAATTAATTAGTAACCTGATGAAAATGATAATTAAAGCTATATTATGTTAAACAACACCCATAGTGATTGTGTAAAAATTATATTTCTCCGTCAGTGAAGTTAAACAACACCCATAGTGATTGATGAAGATGTCACATGCCGTATTGGGTGGGATGGATGAAATGGAGACTTGCTTCCGGTGTTTTGTGTGATAAGAAGGTACGATCAAAACTTAAAGGTATGTTTTATAGAGCGGTGGTCAGACCGACTATGTTATATGGGGCTAAGTGTTGGCCAGTCAAGAGCTCTCACGTCCAGAAGATGAAGGTAGCAGAGATAAGGATGTGGAGATGGATGTGTGGGCACACCAGATTAGATAGGATTCAGAATGAAGTTATTCGGGACAAGGTGGGTGTGGCCCCCTATTGAGGACAAGATATTGGAAGCACGACTTAGATGGTTTGGACATGTGAAAAAAGAGAAGCACAGACGCTCCGGTAAGGAGGTGTAAGAGGTTGACATTGGAGGGCCTTAGGAGAGGTAAAGGTATGCCGAAGAAGAGTTGGGGTGAGGTGATTAGGCATGACATAGCACAACTACAGCTGACCGAGGACATGACCCGTGATAGGAAGATGCGGAGGTCGAAGATTAGGATAGTAGGTTAGATAGTCTAGATTATTCATACCGGTAGTATTAGTACGTACTCTCACATTTGATTGGTAGTAGGCTTATTTGAATACCTTTAGTTTTTTTTTTTTTTACATTTCGATCATCTTACTATCTTGTTGTGTATGCTGTTTTTACATTGGTTTTTCGGTGTTTTCCCGTCTTGTTTCTTGTTATTATTGTGGTACTTATGCTTGCCTGAGTCGAGGGTCTATTGGAAACAGTCTCTCTTCTTCCACAAAGGCAAAGGTAAGGTCTGCGTACACATTACCCTCCCCAAATCCTAATACGTGGGATTATACTAGGTATGTTGTAGTTGTTAGTGAAGTTAAATTCAGAATATGCCATTGGTTTTTGCCAGGTTTCATCTGGTTAATTGATAAGCTACAGAGAAAAGAACTAAGGGGAGGGAATATAAGATACTTTCTATGGCCCTTTCTATAACATGCATTTCAATTTTTTATTAGCTGACAAAAAAATGTGGCGGAGATTACAAGCATAGGATCATCTTAGATAAAGTGGTTCCTCGTATTCTTCTTGTCATTGGATTTGTCTTTGATGTACATCTTTGATGGTCTTTTTGTCTGACTTTAGTGTTGTGTCAACTCATATATGATAAACATATATTAGCTCTTATTCTCATCTTTTATATTCGACTCAAAAAGATGACAACATGCATCTTGGGACAACTCCCTGTTTCTTTTTTTAAGTTGTTTTTTATACGCTTGTGAAATCATCTCTTTAACTTTATGCAGCATCTGAGGTCAAGTAGGTAAAATAAAAAAGAGTTTAATTAATATACACTAACAGAACTACATGTAATCTTTTATAGCAAACACAGAGTGGTACTTGCAAAACATGGCAAAGTGACCTGTCACAACTGCATTCACAATGTTAAATTTTTTTACACAATACGTATGATTTAAATCTATTCCTAATCAGAAGGGGAAATGGCAGAACCAGAGAGGAATGAAGCATGCTATAACAGACATGTGTCATACTCCAACATTTTCAGCATTGTCAGCCACAATGCTGAAAAATTCTGGTGATCCGCCAGGATTTGTGGCACAATCCTAACGATTACCATAACTGTTGCGTGTTTTAAAATTCTGGCGACCGAGAAATATCTCGCCAAGCAAACTTTACCTTGTAACACAGTGAGATCTATTAGGTTCGCTTGTACAAATTTCAAATATAGAATTGGAAAGGATTTTGACAATGCAAATCATAACATCTTTTGGCATACTTTGGAAAAAAGCAACGTATATCAGGTGATAAGATTATAAAAGCAAACACCAAAAGCCAAGAATCCAAGTTCAGAGACTTGGATAATAAAAAAGAAGACTATTTAAATGGCAACAAAGAAACGCAAAGGCATCCTCACTAACACAGAAACCAAATATATCTTTACTGTTCCCAGAATAGAACTTAACCAAGATTATTTGCCTGGTTAACAAAGTAAAAGCTCTTTTTTTCCCTTCCTCTTTGCTCTTCTAACGTCTCGCTAATTTGGATTCTTATTATGAGATCACCATAATCAATCTTCAAGCTGACTGTTTGGTGTAGAAGTGAACGCCAAAAGCCACACCTAGAATAATGAGAGGAACCAAGAATTGGAGGAGCTTGACAATGAACTCTGTTGTTTTGTCCTGGTTGTAATGAGGCTGCTTTGGAGGAGTGTATTTGACCTTTGTTGGTATGGTTGATGAATCAATATCACCTACGTAATACTCGTCCAACATTGCTCGAGCACTACTGCTGTGACCAATATCCTCAAAATCATCGGTAGCATCCTTTCCTGCGAAAAGAAACAATCACGAGCCTATGAACCAATGTCTTCTACAGCAGAGGCGCATCCAGAATTTTTGAAACTTAAGTGGTTTTTTACCTACTGAAAAGTTACGCTGGATTGACCTTTTTTAAACCACCATTTCTATTTTGACCCCGTTAAGAAAAGTTTTGGAAAAATAGCCACGCTCGCCAAAATTTTGAAGCACCAGAAATTATGGCGATCACCAGAATTTTCAGCCGAGCAAACTGTGGCAAAATCCTAACGATCACCATAACTGTTGCGTGCTTTAAATTCTGACTATTGAGAAATCCTGCCGAGCAAATTCTGGCATGGGCTTTTTTCCCAAACTTCTGTTACCGGGATAAAAAAATCAATAATGGCACCGAAGTATCCTATTTCTATCATTCTCCCTTTTACATATCGAAAATATTGGGTTCCGTTAAACTAATAACACATGAGCTACATCCTCCTACATTCTACAGGATTACACAAGTATACTTTACATATTCAGGATTAGAAAACTTGAATACCAAAATACAGAGTGTTTACTGCAGGAAGAATTTGTCAAATTATTTTACCTGTTGCGGACAATAAAACCTCACCACCACCTGGGTGATCTTCCAAGAACTTCGTCACATTATACACCTGTTCAAATAAAATGCACCATATGAAAAAGTTGAGAAACTTGGAAAAGGGAAAATAAGGAAAAGAAAAGGAGAGTGGATTTTCTAGATTACACTAAATACAGGTACATGAAATCTCTAAAATGACTCAAGACTCTTTTCTGGTTACTATTATCAGGTTCAATCATCATTAGCTATATTGCTAAATTTACTAAAACCAAAAGCGTAAAGAAATAGGCCTTGGATTCTGGCAGTAATTGAAAGAAAAGCACCACGGCAGCAGTTTAACATGTAGTAATATTGCAAGTCTGAATCTTATTTTATAACCGGGAAACCCCCCTCAAATGGTGCACAAGTCGAAACTTGCTGGATAATGAGTCCGCCAGAAAGTTCGGCAAAATTTCCATGTATACATGTACTATATGTTAGTGATATATTAGACATGCACTCTATGTACAAAGCATATTTTGGTTGAATGCAAAAGTGCACGCCACCTCCAGGGTGGATTCGCCTCTTTTTCTACCCTTAGTTACTTAAATACCAATTAGGCATTTACACAAATCATGCAATCCTCGACAAACAAAACAAGAAAATAACACAAAACAAGAGGAGATCAGCTACACTCTATACCACCCCCACCCCCTCTTCCCCAACCAGGAGAACGCAAAACGTAAGTAATAAAGAACGATTTTTTAAAATAAATAAGTGATAAAGATTGAATCTTTAACAGATCCAATTATTTAAAAAAAAAAAAAAAAAGCATAAAAATGCAGCAACATAGTTAATTACATTAGTAGACGAAAACTTTATTACAAAAAAGATCATGAGATTATTATATATACCTTGCCACTGATAATAAGCCAACAATCCTTGGCATTGTTGTGATTAGAAACCTCAGCTAAAGTGAAGACCTTAGATTGACCACCCATTTATTAGACAATTTTTCTAAGAAAATTGAAACTGAAAGATTAATCAGATTATGATTTTGGAGGAGGAAATGAGATGAGTGGAGTGGAAGAAAAGTTGTTGGGTTTAATAAAAAAGAGAGGGAAGCAGGGGTTTGGTGAGACCATAATGTTGGGCCATCAAATGTCAAACCGAAGAAGAGGTAAGTTAGGCGGACATTGTAAAAGTTTGGTTTTAGGCTTTTAAGCGGTTAGCATTCATTACTTCGGTATGATATTTAAGAAATAGGGGTAAGTGCACAAATAGTCATTTTTAGGTATGTTATTTAGAGATTAATCATACTTATTTTGTCCTAAAATTTTAAATTTAAAATCTTAACTTCTGTACAATTCAGAATATTTTTGTCCTGAAAATTTGAACTAAAAAATTAAAATCTAGGACGCACTAGCTAATTCCTAAATACAGCCTATAAAGTGGCTACCTGGTGTCATTTCTACTAAGAAATACGGTTTGGTACTTCGGTATTCGCTAAATCAATTGTACATACTAAATACCGTTCCAAAGTAGTTCGGTACGATTCAATATTTCTTGTTTGGTTCGGTACAGTTTCGGTAGCGGCCCAAACAAAACTGAAATGAGTTTTGCATTAGTAAGTATAAAACGTTAAACATAGCTGGCCATAACAGTTTTCAACTTTTCATTTCTTTTAAACAGATGATATCACAAGGTGATTAATCTCTTAAACGAAGACAGATCAAATCAAGTACAAAATGGAGAAACAGGTTATGCTTAATAGTTAATACAAACATATCAATAGTATACTTGTTTAGAAAAGATTGCAGTTAGGAAATTAAAATAAAACTTAAATTGACCACCAAATCAACCCGGGTTTAATACAAACATAGCTATATTTCTTTTAACAAACTGCATTTGGAGATTAAAATAGAACATAAATTGACAATCAAAGCAACCCAATAAAGGGTTTAATATCGGATTTTAAGCTAAGGCTTGCTAAAATATTTCGGTATTTCGGTATACCGAAGTATCGAAAGTTTAATATCGAGAACTGTATCGAAATACCGAAAAATTCTTACCGATTCGATATCAAAGAACCCATATATACCAAAATACCAAATTAATTTGTTCCGGTCCGATTTTTTGGTATTTCGGATTTTATGCCCATCCTTTATTTTTCACCTTTTTTCTTTTTCGAGGGTAAAAACATTTGCAACGAATCAAATAATGTAATTTTAGCAACTAAAATTTAAAGTGAAGATACATCACTTGCGAATAAATTATCTTTGAAAAATATTTAGTTTGTATTTATTGATTTTGTGTGTATACAGAGTATGAATAAATTTTAACAATTTCATAATTAATATTGTAAATCAAACATTGATATACAGGGACTAAAGAGTTTGTTTGGTTGATGGTTTGGACTAATTAATCCCAATAGTATTTAGTATATTACAGTGTTTGGTTGGCATGTTAAGATAAATTATTGTCAATGCATTAAGTTATGTGAAAATTTGTGTATTATTATACGCAAAATAAGAGTATGTGTATTAACAACGGGAATAAAACTATTTAAAAACAAAATTCTCATAGTAATTCATATATTATAATCTCTTCATTATTAATCGTTATATTACAATGCTTCACTATTAATCTTGGTATAAACAATTCTTGTATTATAATTTTCGTATAACTAATACGTAAACCAAGCTACTCCTAAATTAAGTTACCATTTTACGAGAAAGGTAGTTAAACCACCTCGTATAATCATCTATGCCTCTTTAAATCCTTAGATGGATTTGTTTCTCTATTCATGTCACTCGTACAGTCTAAAAAGTTATTCACATAAGGGAAGAAAATATAAAAAGAAAGACCTAAAACCAAAGAGTGCTCAACAGATTAAGAAATTTTTTAATCTGGTTGTTGAGTGATGTGACATTTGACGCAGATAAGTTTTACCTAAAAAATAATTTTCACCTACTTGTTTTATTGATTTCCACTTTTAATATTATATTGTAGATGTATTGTTTTCTACAGTAATAACCTTATAATTGTACAGTGTATACTGAGCAGTCTATATTAGGCTCAATGGTTGAAATGATGATCAATTGAACTAATAAATAAAGCTCACGTTAAATGCTTAGCTTTTTTGGTTGAGTCTGTATCAAGAAAATTTATTCGCGCTTTATTTTTACATCAATTCAATATATTTGAAATATGTATTGTATATACATATTTAATATTTAATCATGGTTAACTAACATCCATTTTTACTTTAATGTAACTTCTAAGATTAACTTGTTCAGTGTGAAATAAATATCGAATCAAGTAGGTTTTCTTTCGATAATATTATATTGGCTTAGATTGATATAATGAAACAACAGGTCAAGGTTAACTAATTACTTAAGCTTAGTCATGCAGAGAACAAAAAGAATCATCTGAAATGTAAGCATGCGAGAAGGGAGATGTGTAGTCAAATGAATCAAAGGCAGTAGATTATACAGAACAATAATAGCGTGTTTGGCCAAACTTCTAAAATCTGTTTATTTTGATAAGTGTTTTTTTTTAAAGTGCTTTTCAAAAAATACTTTGGGTGAGAAGCAATTTGTGTTTGGCTAATTAATTTGGAAAGCACTTTTGAGGAATAATTAGTCTTTGGCCAAACTTTTAAAAAGTGCTTCTAAGTGTATTTTTCTCAAAAGTGCTTCGGGGGAGAAACTATTTTTTTCTACTTCTCAAACACTGTTTCTGCTTCTATTCAAAAACACTTTTTTCCTTCAAAAAGCTTGCCAAACACCTTAACTTTGAGAAAGAAAAAAAATACTTCTAACAAAAAAAACACTTTTGACCAAGAAAAAGTTTGGCCAAACATACTATAAGACTGCTAAATGACTAAAATGGACACTCGCAATAGTGGAGGATGTTAAATATTTGACCGCTCGTAAAACATATTTACAGTTCCTATCAAATTTTCATAAAGATGACGTGGACGTTATAACAACAACAACAACCCAGTATAATTCCACTAGTGGGGTTTGGGGAGGGTAGTGTATACGCACACCTTACCCCTACCCTGGGGTAGAGAGGCTGTTTCCGATAGACCCTCGGCTCCCTCCCTCCAAGAACTCCTCACCTTGCTCTTGGGGTGACTCGAACTCACAACATCTTGACGTTAGCATACGAAAATTAAAAATCGTCTTGAATTTTTGTTTTATACCCCTAAAATGCCAAAAACATATGGAAAGCTCATGGGGAGACAATAACTATTGTTCATTAGGTCGTTTCTGATAGGTCCACAAAATTTTAGGTGATTCGAAGTCTGTAACCTGAATTCATGATGATGTCATGGACATTAGGATACAAAAAATCAGAAATCATCGTGAATTCTTGTTTTATGACTCTAAAACGCCAAAAATGAGGAATTGTCCTAGCGAATCAATGTCTATTGTTCATGTGTATTAGTACATGCTGATTTAGCAGATTTTTTTTTGCCGGCTCCGATTGGCATGAAATTTTGTAGGTCCATGGAAAAAATTTTACTGACCAATACTTATTATTTCACCATGACTTTCGGGTTTATTTTATAGTATTTCGGGACCGATCACCCGGATGCATGCAAATGGTGTGGGCTATAACACATGAAAATTTGGGAATCGGACAGAATTCTAGTTTTATGGCCCTAAAATAACAAAAAATGAAGAACAGTCCTGGCGAAATGATGACTATTGTTCCCTAGGTTGTTTTGATGGGTCGAAAAAATTTTAGGCGATTCGGGTCTGGTTGCCCGAATACATGCAGATGGCGTGGGCTATGCACACGAAAATCTGAGAATCGGACGAAATTTCAATTTCATGACCTTAAAACGCCAAAAACGAGGAACGGTCATGGCGAAGCATCCATCTGTATATCAGCTATATATTTACCTTCTTTTTGTTTTTGACAGACGGCTATTTAAGTTAATTTCTAGCGAGTACACTTAAGGCCTTGGTATATCAACTATGGGCCAAAAGTCCTTTTTACTGAGAATTTACTTTTGTATGCTTCTGGGCTTTGTGGTCCATTTAAGGTTATCAATAGTTCACCTTTCTCCTGGGCCACCCACTATCTATGGGCACCCATATGGGCTGCACCA